TATATTGTGAAGAAAAATACCTTTTTCAAATAGCTTCCCTTCTGATTGATGTAATGTGCATAACATGCATGGCCACAATATACGAGAAAAAACTCTTGTAGCGTACGTATTTTTTCTGTTTATCTATTTAAAATAGCCCGTATCGTGTAAKCAATAAATGATTTTAAATATAAAACCGAATTTGATTGATCTTTGAATCGCGTTTTKTCAAGTTTAGTAAACGAAAGTAAGTATAACCGTTAGCACTAACGGATATATTACTCTTCCAAAAAATACAGATATTTCACAAATAAAATATCATTAAGAAAGGATCGAGCATTTTTTATCTCAACTTCAGAAAGGCTTGTGTGGTAAAATTTCTTATTGTGGTTACAGCAAACTCTTTTTAAATACCATGCACCATGCACTGTTTTCTGTTTTGACTGAAATAGTTCACCAATATAATTTAAGTGCAGAAAACACTTACCAAAACACGGCGGAGAAATACCCAAAACTCAGTTCTGTTTTCTAGATGTGCAACTTAAAATGAGCCTTGATTGAGAGCACTTCCAAACTTTCATGTGTTAAGTACCAATAAATTGAAGTGTTTGACAGATTACGCAGTGGTATTTCAATTTACGGCATCAAGAAAGCGTTTCTATTGTTCATTTAGAATACATCTGATCATATTTCTTTGGGGTTTGAACATCCAAGYTCAATAATTAAAACCACTTGCCAAAGTGTTTAAGGGAATTGTGGGCGTYTTCATCATCGATTAGCTTTGTTTGATTCACTTTCCATCTCAGTTCCCAATTCCTCAGATCTCCTGAGATATGCACAAGATTGTGCACTTGTCTAAATGAATAAGCAAGATACATATCMTTTATAGTCAGTTTGGATCCAAGCAAGAAAAAAAGAAAATAAACTTTTTTATTTTGCCTTTGCATCTCCTCTCTCTAGCACTTTAAATAAGATCTTTTTTTTATTTATTTAATTGATTATATTATTTAAATTAGCAAATTATTTATATCCATTAGTAGCTTTATTTCTTTCTTTTAGTATATGGCTTTCGATAAATGGCTTCACAGAAAACCTGATCTATCCTTCCCTGCTGCTCATACATCTAAACATCTTGCTAACTCTTTTGCTGACTTTTTTGTTAATAAGGTAAAGGCTATTCAAAGTACTTTTGATTTACAGTCATCATGCTTGGATATCCAACCTGCTTCTGCTCCACGAATCCCCAGGCATTTCTCTTCATTTTCTGAAATCTCACCTTCGGATCTTTCTAATCTCATTCTTCCATTGGTCTCAAAGTCTTGTGATCTTGACC